TATAACGCACATACAGATCCAACTACATTGGCCTATAAACATACAGCACAGCAATGAAGTAATACAATGAACTTCATACAATGATCACACTAATCCAGCACGTTATTAATCTCACGTGCCCCACTCAATATGGCCGCCACTTGAGTGGGGCAACTCCGAATGATAACGTGCTGGATTAGTGTGATCCTAGTTCATTTTATTACTTCATTGCTATGCTGTATGTGTATAGGCCAATGCCTTGGCTGGCGCTCGTGCAGAAAGTTTCTTTGGCAAACTCACCGGCCCAAGTGGCTCCGTCGTCTAACGAAGGGGGGAGAAGTCCGGTGACGTCACCGGACTCCTCCCCCTTCCCTTCGTTAGCCGTCACCGGACACCTCCCCCCCTTCGTTAGCCGACGGAGCCACTTGGGGAAGGGGGGAGGAGTCCGGTGACGTCGATGTCCGTGACGTCACTGGATCGCCGACGAACTCCCGGAAGCCGGCAGAGAGGTGAGTGTTTTCATTAGCGATCAAAATTATTTTAAAATCTAACAAAAAGTTTAACGATTAATCGAGAAATGAATCTTTAATTTCCACAGCCCTAATAAAAACAAAGAAAAGGATTTTAATGTCCCATTAATAGTAAAGACTAGAGCACAGCAACCAGAAATGACAAATGTGCCAATTCTGCTACCCCACCTCAAGTTGAATTTTCGGGAATTTCTGAATCCGAAACAGATCCTAATACGAGTCCGATTCCCGAAACGAAAAACACATAAGATCCGAATTCCTAAAAATACGAAAAACTAATTTTTAGCCACTGCACATGTCCACTCCTGACCGAATAATACCCTTAGAGTCGGGTGGGTGCCAAAGTGACTACAGATGCCTCTGCAATCCAAGATAAGTATATGTATGAAGTCACTCGCACGCCAATAGAATTTCAAGTCAAAAATGCTCTATTGACTCGATTGCTATCACATCCTATAGCAGATGATGCCATAGGATGCGATAGCAATCGAGTCAACAAACCGTTTTTGACTTGAAGTTCTATTGGCGTGCGAGTGACTTTATACATATACACTTTACTAGAGCACACATATCTATGAGAGGTACCTACAGCAACAGTCAGATGTCTATTACAAATGTTGCCACAACAAGGCCCAGGCCCGCACATGGTTGCTAATTACATAACGAGGACTGTGGACTGCTGCATTGGCCTGCACCCTTTTCCTCAGAATAGTTTACATTAGGGAGGGATCGCCCAAGAAAAAAAAAAAAAAGATAAATAGGAACGCTTCTAGCCCAGAAGATAATGGGGTTATTTTAGTTACGTAAAATGACTCGCAATATAAAAATGGGTACCTGTCATGATGGCGGTTATCTTAGCCAGCCAAGGCTTCCATCCAACAGAGGAACGTTGCCGCTGTCTGGTCCTTGGAGTGGTCCTCAGCATCATCTCATACAATGACGTGCCTTCACCAGACCGAACAAGGTTTCTGGGAGTCAGGCAATGGTAGCATCCAGAGTGGAGTCTTAATTATCCCCGGTAAGAACTGTCCTAACTAGGGATTCGCCGATACTAGTATTGGGTGCCGATACTGGGCATTTTCAGTATTTGTTTTTCTGAAAATGCACCGATTCCGGCACTTTACATTTTTTAACTGAAGCCAGCGCTGTAAACAAGTGCTGGGCTTCTCGGGAAGACTGCCGCGGTCCTCAGTAAGGTCCCGCAGTCTTCCTGTGAACGTTGGTGTTTACAGCTGTGAGACAGTCTGATTGGCACACCGGACAGCCGCCATTGACCCCGCACGGCCACCCGAGAGCCTCCATTGACCCCGCACAGCCACCATTAACCCCACACAGCCACCATTACATCGGCTGGAGACATCAGGCCAGCACCCCGGAGCAGCACAGAAAATGTAGCTTCATATTATTCTGCATTGCTGGGATTTGTAGTCCTCTATAGCCAGTTGCTATTTGGCATTGCTGTATAATGTATTGCTGGGATTTGTTGTTCGGAGGAAACCCACGCAAGCGCAGGTAGAGCATGCAAACTCTTGCAGATAGTGACTTGGTCGTGATTTGAAATGGGGACCCCCGGTGTTGCAAGGCAGAAGCGCTAACCACTACACCATTTTGTAATTCTAAGAAGCATCTGTGGTCAAAGTTAGGTTACGAAAGTAACTGTTTGCACTGATGAAGGGACCCTGCGTGGTTCGGAAAACGTTGGCTATGTTACATATGTTCTACATTGTAACGTAGCCAATTATTGTTCTAGAATAGAACTTCTGGATTTATTCTCATCCTGCGAGTGCTGGTGATCTTCATTGTTGTTACTTCAAGTTACTAAGGGGAAACTTGCCTGCCATAAGGAGGGGGTCCAGGTCCCTGTGCATTGGTTCAGCTCTCCTATTTTATGTTCCGAGAGGCTCCAATATGCAAACAAGATTCCCATCTTCCCCTACTCCATCCAAAATTAAAAGGCTTGTCCCCTTGGACACTCCTTTCTGGGGTACACCATAAGCCTGACAGGCCCAACTTGTCATAAGCCCCATGAGAAATGTCAGGGTCTGACTTTCAATGTAAATGGCATGGACGACAATATTACCCATAAGGCAGTGCTTACACATCCAGCATCAAAAGTCAAATGAAAAACACTTGGTTCACGGAGTCAGTGTGATCTTTTATTTACACATTTCTACAGAAAAGTCAACCTAAAATAAACTACAAGTTTGCTTAATCTGACAAAACCATAATTGGAGAGTTCATTTCATGTGCGTCACCCCCCCCCCCACAAAAGAACAGTAAAAACGCTCACCTGGGGTATACAAAAGAAGGATAAACTAGTGATTACCTTTAATAACGTCTGATAAGAGGCTTTGCACATAGTTCAAGAGTAACTTTTAGAAAGAGAGGCACAAATACGATTACTCTGAGCGACAGTCTACATTCAAGATAGGACACAGAAGTCAATACAGCTGTCAGCAAGTGATAGCGACAAATAGGACTCACCCGCTCAAATCGGGGGTTGATGTCTGGCCTGATTTATAAAACTGGAGGAAGGAAACATGCCCAACAGGCTGATTTATAGGACAGCTCCAGCCACAAAGCTAAATACACACAGCAACTATTTTACCCGCTGAGTACTAGTAAAGCCGTCTGCATGTTTTTCGGATCCGTCCACTAGTGCGCTGTATAGTTTAGCACAAGGAGAGGGACAATATCGATCAAACCTCGCAGATCTGAAGACTATGGCAGTGCCCCACTTCCTGCCTGCTCTTCAAAACACTTGTGGCTTCTACCACACAGATGACACCCAACCTGCCGCTGCTCACTTTATGCCAGCTCTGCAAAAAAACACAACACCCACAAAAGAAGACCAATTGTATTTACCTGTCCTGCCACCTGGGTGTCTCAGATGTAAAGAGGTCAATCCTCTGCAAGAGAAAGAAGACTGAAGGTATGGGTGAAGGAACAGGCCCTCCAGCTGTGGTGAAACTACAAATTCCATCATGCATCTGGCCTTGGGAGTCATGTATGTAGCTGTCAGAGTCTTGCTGTGCCTAAATGGGATTTGTAGCTGCCCCACAGCTAGAAGGACGGAGTTTACCTACCACTGGTATAAACCCTCTGCTTTTCCAGGTAGTGCTTTGATATTCTTTAACTCGGCAACATTCATTTTAAAGGTAATCAATCCACTCCTAGTATATTTCCTTACCTCTAAAATACATCTACAGTCAAAACATTTCCTTTTTTTAGCTTTGGATAGAGTGGGGAAGAACTCCTGTCAGCTTTTTTATTGCCGACTGTGTGGTGGTCCCCCACTGTGGTTCATCTGCCATCACTTCGGCCAAAGCAAAGCAGTGATGGAGTGGTCGCCAGACAAAACCGCATCACATGGTGGGGGGCCATGGACACAATGTTCTTATTTCTGTAACAATCTCTAGGCATTCGCAACTCTAAACACAGACTGGAGACAGACACGGGTTACAGGACAGGTAGGTACAAAAGATCTTCATTTGCAGGTGGTATGGTTTTTTTTTTCTTGACAGAGTCTCTTCAAAAAGAGCCTTAATACCTCCCATTCCAAGCCAGCTGAAAAAAATAATAGTTATTAACTTGAAGGAAGGCATTTTTGGATGGAGCAGATTAAAAGAGAACTATGGCCAAACCTTGTTGGCTATAGTTCTTTCGGGTCAAAGGAGGACATTTACAATTTACAAGAGCCGCTCTGCAGCAAGGAAAGATCCCGACAATATTGTCAGGATCCACCCCGCTGCCTGAATGACAGCTGACTCTGCCTCTCTAGAGCCAGAACCAGCTGTGCCCGCTCCTTCCCTTGTCTGTCCCTCCAGTCAGCGCTGGAGGAACGATGAGGGAAGGGAAACCCTGTGGGGGTAGTGACTGACCGTCACCGCTCCCTGCAGAGAGAAGATCGGGAACTGATCGGCGGTTTGTGATCGCTCAGTTTTCGATCAACAGTCGGCATGTGACTGCTATAAAGTCACACGTCAGCTCTAACTATGGGGATGAGTGCATTTCACTTTCCCCATAGTTGTCCTTTAAGGGTGTGCAACATGTTATGATCGATAGCAACCATTCAGAAATAATCTCTTAAAAAGGTTGAGATAGCAGCTCACTGGAAACTGATTGGCCGATACTTGTTCCCACACTTTGCACTGCTCCATATTTTAACCGGCACTGGTAAAGCTAGGAGCTGGCATTTATAAATTATTGCCCACCAATTAAATCTCAGATGACATTTATACAGCATATTAGAAAACACAGGCCAATAGGCACTCCGTTGACACAGGCAGGCACTTTTCCTTTCCTCCATTTTTTAATAAGACCGCCAGGTTTGTCTGCAGAAGGTGAAATGATATAATTTATCAAAGTGTCAGACTGCAGAAATGACTGAACAATAAAACTGCCAAGCTCAAGTACTCCGCGATACGCCGACACTGTTCCATACAAATAACTAATACTTACCTTGAAACACCACCAAAATACATTGGTTTTTTTTTAGTCTTGAGGATCAAACGAGACCTTGTCAGCCTCATTTTGCTCCCAGTGTAATACCGCTTTTGCATTTTAAGCCATAAGGGATCACAAAAATAAAAAAATTAAATGGGAAAACAAAAATTCACATTTCATTGCATGCTAAAAAGGGTAGATAAGGATGTAAACACAAGTACACTAAAAAAAAGCCAAAAACTACAAATAAAAAGAGAAATCCTATGAATTAAATTTTTTTGTTCAAGAAACAAAGTCTACGCCATTTTATTGCAGTGTATTGTGTTCTACTCCGTCCCATATGGTGGGGGGAAACACAGTATTGAAGCTTATGGCTTAAAATGCTCGGCGTGGACTGAGTGTATCGGAGGTTTAGAGGAAGCACAGGTCAAAGCACTTCTGCTGCTACAGATCATTTATACATGGTTCAGGGAGGTTTTTTTTTTAAATAACTCTTCTTGTTTTTGCAACATTTTTATCCTCGTCATGCATTAGACTGGACGTTACTCCTAAATATCTATTTCTTTTTGGTACTGGAAGATCGGGAGCCAGAATGAGATGAGCCAGTTGGTGAATGTCTGCGCCTGGAAGAGAGAAATTGAAAGGTAGGCATTTTGTTAATTTCTGG